GTGGGACTCTCTCTTTGGTGAGGAGGGGGATGTTTTGGTGGGGGATTCTGTGTTGCCATTCACTTCTATTAGATGTTGGGTGATGGGCTGTGAAGCAGGATGATGTGGATGAGGACTCTGAGGGCTGCTAGCGAGAAGCCCCTGCACAGCTGTGGTGTTCTCAAGTGCATTTATGTGAAAGAAGTTCCCAGGCCACGGCCTGTCTTCTGCGTTGGCGGTGTCACCTCACGTGATTAAAGCTATGCAAATAACTTTCCTTATTTTCTTTTCTTGGAATGTTTGCAGACAAATCACCATTTTTTTAAAAAGTATTCCACATTGAAAATGCTCAATAGGTGTGTTGGGATTTTGATTTTTTTTTTTTTTACTTTATAGGTTGATCCAATAAATTGATTATAAAACTATCTTGCTGAATGTTTGCTATTTCCATCACTCTGGCTGTGATTATTCTGATAGGAAGCAATATATTTTCTTTGTTTTATGCTTGGATGATTGCAAAAATATATATGGTTCCTTGTGCCGATTTTAAGATTCAGTTGATTTATGAATGTGACTTTATTGCTTCTGCTCAGTATTTGTGCTATAAAAATACAACTGCATAAAGGCTCATAGCAAGAAAATAGAAAAAGCTGAAAAACAGACTTGAAATAATACTTGCAAATCTTTCTGACCTCTAATTATCATGATGTTAATTGTGTCTTCCAGTCTTCAAACTGTGTTCTAGTTAGGAAAGCACATGCTTAAATCCATTCCTATCCAGGAAAATGCTTGAGCTTAATTTTAAGCATGTGCATAAGTTACATTAGTTAAATGGCTCGTAACTATTTGTTTAAATCCTGTCCAGGGTTAGACTGACTAAATATATTAGAATTGCAAGGTAAATACTGCAGTAAATAAGACAAATATGGGTGTTGGGTTTGCTATGAATTTATCACTGATTTTGACTTTTACAGTAATTTTTACAGTATACGGTTGAAATCAGAAAAGAATGGAAATTTCAACTAACTAATTTTTTAATATGCTGAAATGTATTAAGTTACACAAAAGAATCCATATTATAGTAATCCTGCATATATACAGGAAAAGAGTACCCAGCGTGCATGGCAGATGGTTCAAAGGAAATCCTCGAGAGCTAGGATTAAAAAGCAATTTTCAGCAAGTTTAAAATGGGTCTCCATATTTGGGTCACAGATATTAAGTCTTTCATTGCAAACAAATGAGGGAGAAGTCTTGTCGGATTATTATGGAAATGTTTCTCGATAAAAGCTGACCAGTGCGTGCTGTGGAAGAAAGAAATGAGAATGTCAGTTGATTCCACTGCTGATCCTGTTGTAACAACAGTGGGAAGTAGAGTTGTGATGTATGGAGACAGTGGCATGTTGCACGTAAATGGGATTTGTCGTTTGGCTAACAAACATTGGCAGCCCTTTTAAAAATAATGTGTGTACAGCTTCAACTTTTGTCTGCCCACGGAAGCAAATTCACGTGAAGACAAACACAAAAATTGAAAAGAAAAATGTAAGATTTACCTTGATTTTTTTTTTTTTGTTGTTCTGGCTCTGCCAAGTTGGAATTTCCAAGGAAACTTGAGGTATAAAGGTACCTAAATCCCCTTTTTGTTTCAGATTTCTGAAGTCTGTACCTGGCTCTGCCAATTTGCATTGATTTCGTTGGCCTTTGTATCAAACGTCATATTTTTTATACTGCAGTAGAGATGTGTGGCTAATCCTGTTCCTCAGGATTATATCCATCACTTTTTATTTTAAACTTCCTGATAAATAGTGTTAGACAGGAATGAGCATGGGCTCAGAGTCCTGCTTGGAAGCATTTCTGTACTTAGAAACAGAAAGCAAGCCCATGTTTTCTCAAACATGTTTTAGGGGCACACTAGAACTCAATTTTTTTTTAAAGGTTATATTCTAAAGTAAACAATACCATGCAAACATTGTTCCAGGCTGTTTGTATTGGTGATGTCTGAACATCCAGAAATATTGTCATCAATATGGTGCATAAAAATGAGTGCAGATCGGCTACATACTCTGTGAGCAAGGGAAGACACTGGGCTTTTAGTTGGTGTGTATATATAGCACAGCTAGTTGGAGATTATTGGCTTTAACTAACTTATACCAGCTGGTAAATGTGTTAGGAGTGTAGTTCAAGTTTACATCAGTGCTCCTTTAGACACTTCTGGCAGTGTGAAGGAACCTCAAGTTCAAGCTGAACAAACTTTTCTTTTAAAGACTCTTCTGTTTCCAAAGTAGAAATTCAAGTTAGACCTTAAGCAATGTTTAGCACTAAACAATGAAATATAGCAGCTGGTACTATTTTATTGTGTTCTCAAAGCTCAGCTGGGTGTATTTTGAGTAGATTTGGAAAGCTTTCTGAGCAAAGGTGCCTGATGCTCTAAGTGAATTATAGGAGTAATTGCTGGTTTAAATTTCAGCCTATGGAGAAGTTAATTGCATTGTTCTTTGGCTATTATGTTGGCTACACGTTAACAGCAAAGGACAGTGTACTTCTGAAAGGGCATGGTAAATGCCCTTTAGTTAGTGAGATAACTAACTGCAGGTACAGCTACAAAATGTTAATTAACAATGCTAAATATTAGGTGTGTCTGCAGGACTGATCTAAGGTAGATATCAGAGGTCCTATCTGCTATTCAGAAAAGAAAATTCAGATGGCGGCTGAAAATAATGTTATAAGGCTGTGTTCAGCTCTTGTGCCAGAGCTAGAAGGCTTCAGTGGACTCGGGATTGGCTTTTAGTTAAAGTTGAATCTGTTCTTCTAGGTCCTTCTTTCACATCACCTCCTGGGGGAGGTTTACCTGTGTGCATCTTGATATGACAAGACCTAGCTTCATGCCATCTTACCAGGTGTTTTTATCTTAGCATAATCTGTGTTTCGGCTGATTATTCCAGCAAAAGGGAGACATTTAGTCTTTTTAATTGTAAGAATTGGCCCTTAAAAGTCTTGAGGCATCAGGACAAGGAATAAGCTTAAGGAAGTGTTTGAAGTGGAACACAGAAGTGGATTAGTGGATGTTTGCAGAGCACTCCTCCGTAGCATGGGAAGAGAGCTTTGAGATAATTGTGACACTAAAAATTTTACAAGTAATTGGTGGAAGTTAGTATTATAGGCTAATTAGAGGCAAAATTCCCCATCTGTGTTGGAGAAGAGTAAGGAGAGAATGTGCTATCAGGAACTTGGAAATAAAAGTAATTTTGGTTTATGTAATAAAAGGGAGAAGCAGTAAGGGCTTGCAAAGAAGACTAACAGAGATGAAGCAGTGGATTAGGAGAACATTTTGTAGCATAGATGAACAATAGTAGGACAACACTGAATCTGAAGAAAAGGGCACTGGGTGCTCAGGAGGCAGACTGAGATCTGGATGGCAGTGTAAACTGTGTGAATGGATGACAACGGCTTTGCCTCGGATGTCTTGCAAGAAGAGGATACGTAGGCCTCTCCTATGAACATAACCTAAGTGCGATTTTTTTTTTTGAATGCTTAATTCTTGGAACTGGTGTTTCCAGTGTAATTATGTGCCTTCAGAGGGCAATTAGAAGTGCCTAAATTAGATGTCAAAAATGGAACATCCCAAGCAGTTGTCAACCATTGTGTGTTGCCAAGTTATGATACTATTAATACTTGGGGGGGGGAGGAGGGGAAAAATCAGCCATGACAACAGTTCTCTTTGATCCCCATGTTTGTAAGTGTAGGTCAGAATTTTACCTTAGATTTTTTCAAAGACTTGCATCTTTCAAAGGGAGGCATAATAGATCCCTTCAGACTCTTCTGTCATTGTTATCTTCCAGGACTTTTGTTTCAAGTGGGTTTTGAAAGTTTCTGTGAAGTAGCAGATGATCTGAGAACAAGACCTGATCCAGATGTCTTTGGATAGCCTGAGCAATCCATTTGCTTGACTTCAACAAACTTAAGATCAAGTTCTAAAGGAAGGAGTTAGTGTTGACTTTAGATAATTCATTTATTTCCTTTACACACTGTACAATTAAGGTTTTGATAAAGCAGGAGTTTCTTGTATGAAGTCAGTTGTCTCGTGGGTCAAAAGCATTTTTTGTCAGGGCAAAAACACAATGGGAGGGGGTAAGCTCATGCAGATCACCAAAAGATTAGACAGGTGGAAAACAGAAGCCTGAATTCTCCTGTTAGGGGCCAAATGAGTCATCCAGAAACTACACCAAGGTGCAACTCTGAAGCAATGTGTGACATGCTGTTAAAATGTGTTAAAAAGAATACTGTAAAAGGGAAGATTCTCAGGTGGTGTTTGTCTGCTAGAGCTGTAAAAATGTTCTAGTTTGTGTTGGTTGTGCATTGTTTGTTTTCAGTTACAATAACTCTTGGAGAAGTAATTCCTAGTTTTCTGTAGCCTTCTTGGACATGATTTCTGAAAGTGAAGGTCTGTACTGCCAGTAAGGTATTGTTCAAGAAGTTATTCCCTTTGCTTCTTTCTGCAGAAGTGAACTCGGGCGTTTTGAGATGAGATTGCACCACTGTGGCAGTGGGAATGGAGAGCCAAATCTTTCTGAGGAGCTACCAGGCAGTCCTAATGTTGATAAATGCTTTTCCTAAAGCAATGTTTTGTGCTCTGACGAATATGTAAATCTCTGTGAAATTGTCATTGTACAGAGTTCTGACTACTAGAAACCTTTAAAGTAGTTAGATGCTTTCTTACCTTCAGAAACTCTTAACAGGAGATATTGAAGGTTCAGTTCCACTCAGTGCTTTGGAATTTCTCTCTACTTATATCTTTTTGTAGTGTATATTTATTAAGAAGTGTTTTCTGAGTAGATTACTGAAAGCAATAACCTATTCATATTAAGGCCATGAATGCATGTTTAATCTAACTAGTTAGACAAAAGTGAAAGCTTATATAGTGATAAATTGTGCTATAGATGGGCTTCTCTGTACTTCTTTATTGATGGGACTTTAAGTAGTGAGTTGAGGAGAAACAGATAATGAAAATTGATTCTTCTCTGCAGGTCTCTCTTGCTTACTGTTGGACTTACAGACCGAATCTGTGAAGATAATTAAAGTTCCTTTGCTCTGAAAGCTGTAAGTGATTTTGTTTGTTTGTTTCATGGAAATCGTTAGGAGCCTATTGGCCTCACGTAGGGGGAGGAAAAGGTGAAAATGCCAAATCACAAACAAAATGAAGAAATTAAGTTGGTGCAGATTTGTAATATGACCATACGTATTTGCAGGAGATATTTCTAAAGAGTATTTTGTATTCAGGAACACCCCTGTCTCCATTCCAGCCACGCTGATAAATGCAGTAGCAGGACCCTAATTGCAAATTGCCAGGAAACTATTTTCATACTTCTGTCAGGACTATAACTAGTAGTGATCTCAGTATGGTGGAGGGAATCTGCTGTTGCTGTGTGTATTATATTTGATTGAGAGTAAACACCTGAAGTATCAGTGTATGAAGTATCAGTGTAATATCTTAACCAGAATATTATGTAGAGAAGTTGGAGGGGTGATAAAACTTGTGAATGAAAAAATTTCCAATTGGTAATGACACAGGGTGGTGGCCCTGGCTGTTATTTAGCATAACAGTTGTCTGAATTCCAAGTGCTATGATAACGTAGCAAGAGACTTAAAATACATCTTTACTGTTTAATAGACTTCTGACAGGAGCAGACTCACCTGTTTTAAACCTTGTAATTGTAGAAGCATGGCTTCTGGAGCATCTGGGATAATACCCCCCACGGTACATGGAATCCACCAATTGTGTCTGGTAGGCTGCTGCAGGGAGGCAGAATGTGGGTAGGAGGCTGGAAACAGAATGCCATGGTTTTGACCTTGTTTCAGGATCCCTTTAGTATCCTTAGGACACAGCTCTCTGCTGATTCTATAATTAATTGTTACACTAATGACACATTTCTTATTTCTATGAGAATGTCTTTAAAGCAGTTGATAATTCTTACACCAATGAAAACATGCAAAGAGCTCTTCATACCCCCATTTTTTTCCCCAAAGCTGTGGGAACAATTTTCTGGCTTGTAGAACAAAGAAGTTTGAACAAATTACATAGCCAACATCTGCACCTGGCTCACTTAAGTGACTATTTGGCACAGATACTAAACTACCTTCTGCCAGGAGAGCTGTACTGATACAGTAGTTCAGGGATGAAGATGTGATATTGTCTTTTCCTTTTTGGTTCACCAAAGCTATTTTTGTGATTTGTTGAAGTCAAAATTTTGTTGGAAAGAAATTATCTTTTTACTTTTAAATATCAGAGATTAATTAATGGTTAGTCAAACTTTTTCTAACCAACCATATTAAGATTATGATGGTGTATCACTTCAGTTCCGATGGCAGACACATCACATATGGGTTGCCATTTTGATGGCTTTGAATGGTAATCTGACCCATAAAAACTGAAGCATAATATGCAAACTGATTTTTTTCTGGCCAGCCCTGTTCTGGATGCCATCTGTGTTAGGATGGAAATGAGCCTGCTCAAAATGTGGTCTGCCAGTTTTAAGCAGAGTGGTAGTGCCAATCACAGATGGATTTAAAAGAATAGCCTCATGTGAACCAGAAGAGAAGGAAGATTCTCCTGAGAGCAGGAAGCTTCACTTGAAAGCATATCATGTGTGTTAGATGTTCCGTAGGCCACAGGGTTTATCAGAACTTTCCATGAATTCTTCACATGAATTTAGTAAACTAAACTTCTAAAAATCAAGAAAAACCCCTTAGCTTCCAAACACTGCTTTCCTCCTCACCACTGCCTTCTATTGCTGCCATCCAGGAATGCAGGAAGCTGACAGTTTCTGATCCTGTCGAGTATTTGCAGTGTATCCATTCAGAAAACCAATCACAGTAAAATGTTTCCTAAGTTCTGTAGATATGTGGTTTTAATCTGCTGTATGAATGATGTTGAAGCAATCAGAGTCCTGGTCTGCCGTTTCTGAATTCCTGTCTTTGACAATTAACAAAAATCTATATTGTAGGTGAAGGTGAGTACCTATCTGCTGCTGATGCATCTCAGCTCAAAAATTAAGGTATTCAAGCACCTAATTTTCACTGTAGTCAATAGATCTCAGTTCTCTTCTACTCAATTTGAGAGAGCTGGTGCTCTGAAGTTAGAGATTCAATGACCTTGTCTTATGTGTAGTCTTGGTACTATTTATAATCCAAAGAAACACATGAAATGATTTTCACTGGTTAGGAATATGGTCTACAGAAATATCAGATTAAAAAAAATCTCTTTAAATCGATTCCATTGTTTGATCGACCATTTGCCTGTGCAGAAAGGAAGCATGTAAACGAAGGCACTCATCAATGAATTTCATGTTCGTGACACACTTGAACATCCTTCTCAAGTCCTCTTTAAGCCTTTTATTTCCAGGCTAAATAAACACCAATTTCAGCAGTCTCATCTACTCCCTTTAATTACTGCTGTTGAGAGAAAGTTTCTGCCGATGCAAATGTGCTATTTTGTCATGTCACATCAAATTGCATCAGCCTTATATTTAGGAACAAAAAGAGGGGGAGGCTGAGACAGGATGTGGCTACAAATGGAACCAAAGGGTTTTCTTAAATATAGGCTGAAAATAGACAATTGAGGCAGTGATGCTTTTTCAAGCAAAAATCCATGAAAGGGAAAATCAAGTCCATGACGACAGAAATTAAAAGCAGGGCTGGGGATGTGAGAAGAGGGAGTTCTAGATGGAGGCGTGGGCTGGTGTCAGGGAAAAGCTGATGAACTTCTCATTTACGCAAACACCCTTTGCATTGTCAGATTGGTGTGAAGTGTTTTTAGAATATGTTAGACCACATAGATCACATCTTGTTCCTTCTGTGCTGGCTAAAAATGTTACTGGCCATGCGTCCCTCCAGTTTCTTGCAGGGCATGCCATTTGCCCTTTCCTTTGATTATCTCCCCTCAGCTCTCAAAGCTGAACTCATTGATTTCTTCCCAACTTATTTTGATTGAAAAAAAAATTTTAACAACTGGTCTTTGCTAGCTTGGATGCCCCCGCTTAATGGTCATTTGCAGGAGTTGTCCTAAATGCCACATAGCTTTATTCTCATTGATTTACCTGTTACTATATGCTACATTGATGCAGGGATTGTTCATTAAATTTTTTTCTTCTCAAAATATTACCAGAATCCCAAGCCTAAAATCAGTATGGTGCAAAATGGCTCGGCTTTATTAAATTCTTTGTGCCTGTTTACACAATGATTGAATTTGCTGATGGTGGCAATATTTCTTCTGGCTCCTGGGTCAACCTGCTGAATTCCAAGTGTTTTCTGTGTAAGCTCCATAAGCAGATATCAGGTGGTTTGTTCTCTGTTATTTTTGCATGCGTTTTGTAGGGTTGTACCTTACTAGATGAGATTTGAGATTCGTTTTTTTTTTTTCCAGTGGGGCAACCAAACAAATAATAGTGAAGTTAGCCTACCCAATTAAGCAGGAAGAAGTTGAAGAAAAAAACCTGGGAGGAAGCATATCAAATTTGTGAATCACATCTAGCAAAATGTACTTAAACCACAGTGGAAATATATATAAAAAAATAATTTTTCAGGTGCTTCTTATAGTGTATTAAATTCTAGTAGGCCCTGAGAGTGCTAATATACAGCACTTACATACTCAAAATACCTTTAAACATGAATTAACCTTTAAAAGGCTCTTGCATTGCAGGAGTGGTGGTATCCATCTGTAACAGACGGTTGCCTTGATCAACTCAGTTACTCTTATGTAATTTTGGAGAAACTACTACAATCCTAAAACTCAAGCCCAGTTGTTCAGGTTGCCAGCAAACACACATTTTTGTAGTTCAAATAGAAATTAATAGAAATATGCTGATTTACACCAGCCAAGAATTTGGACTAGTGACTTCAATGTAGCCTTCAGTGGCATGTGCCTGGAGAAACTGAAGTCTTCCAGATCGAATTCAGTACAGATATAATACCAGACTTCCAGATTCTTATGTTGGGTATAAATTAATTTATGGGCACATACACTATTTCAGTTTATTTCTTTTAACTACTTCCAGCAATAACTCTCAGCTCACTAAACTAAAACTAATAGATTGTGGTAAATAGGCATAGAGAAAATTTGCAGTAGCTGTCCAAATAAATGTAGGAGTCTTTGAGCAGTCCATCACACTAAATTTACTTTAAAATGTAGTGTCTCTTCACAAATAATAGTTTAAAGAAAAAAAACTGTTCTGGAGGAAAGTCAGTTTGGTTTTTCAGAAAATGTTAGCAGCTTCCCCATGGAAAACACTTTTTGCCCTCTCAGAACTGGGCAGAAAATGATCTGTTGGTATCAAATGTCAATTATGCATGTGGTACAACTTGCTTTGAAATGATGAGTCTGATCAGAACCTGATGGCAATTAAACTGAGTTCTGAAAGATCAGCTGTGTTTGAGAACCATCAGAACTCTTGATGCAGATGTGATCTGTAGGTGTGCTGGCAGCACCTACTTATCAAATTAGAAAAATACTATTCATCTCTTACAGCTAAGCACTTGGATTCTCTCCTAAGGGGTAATTGGTGATGTTAGAGGTAATATTTTTGTTCTTGTCACCAAGGATAATAAAAATGTAGTATCTTAGGAGCTTGCATATTTACAGCATTTTGACAAATGTAAGACAAGTAGTATTTCAGGCTGAAGCTAGACAGGCAAGGCACCCCGCTCTTCATGGTTGGATGTTACCAGTCCTCCAGGACTATAAAATATTTAATACTGATGCTTTAAGCTAAACTCTTAATTTTTAAATTCTTTATGACAGGAGAATAACAACCCGTGGTGCTAATTCCACATATACAGAGAAGCTCAGGCTTTGTAGACAAAACTGCAGTGCGTGGTGGTCTGTGCGCTCAAGGTGCCCAGGTTGGCAAATGGGAACAGAGGCGTGGTGCTGACAGCCTCTAGCCTGAGCAGTAAGAGACTCATGTCTGACTTGGCTGCAGTTTCTGGTATTCTGTCTTCTCTGATTTTTTTGTTTGGTAAATGCATCGCTTGTCTATGGCATCTGACTAGCCTGTAAATGGAAGTGTACAGGGTCTGGGTGTGCTTCCTGCAGGAGTGGAGGGAGGAGGTGAGAGAGTCCTGCAGAGATTCTGGTGATACTTAAAGCATTAATTTGCATATAATTTTTTTCATTTTCAGTTTAATCTACTTCCCAAGACTTAAGACAATCAATCTTATTTTTTTCCTCCGATGACTTTTTTCAGTACACAAGAATTAAAAAATGCCTCAGTAAAATATGTGTATTTTCATAGCAAAGGATGCATTTCTGTTGTGCTTTTTCAAAGCGAGTCACTGAAATATGAAATGGGGAAGGAGAAAGATAGATGTTTGTTTTTTATAGTTGGGGCTTGTTTGTTTTGAACTGAATAAGTCTGAAAATACTAGATAAAAACTGCAGATCAAATGAAAAGACTCCGTAAGCATTCTCCAGATTGTTCATCAAAAAACCACCCAACTGACAACACTACAACAAGAAAATGTTCTTAATTAATGTCTTCAGTTAAAGGAAAAGCATTGTGGATCTCTTAAATATGTTATTAAATCTGTATTGTTTAGATAATAGGATGGGGAAAGACACTTGTGCTGAGTGCTGTGTCAAATTTGTCAGGGCATGTTTTAATTCTAGTTCACTTGCTGGATTTCACAGCTATTTGTCTGGGTATTGGGGTAATTTGGAGGGTTGAGTGAAGCCAGATGACTGTAATGAACTCACTTTGTGTCTTTGACTCATTCTGGCAAAAAAAGATGCTATTTATGGGGTATTTTGTATTGTTAAGACTTCTGTTCCTCCTGTCTCTCAAACTTTCTCTGGGCCACTGTCTTTGCACCATCACCAATAATTACATCAAATTAATTCAGCATAATTGAGTTAATTATTAGCACTGGAGGTTAACAACATGACTTCAGTTGAACCAAAGCTTTTATTCCCCCTTTTCCTGAGGTTTCACAAAATGTAAACAAATCTGAATCATGGATGAAACCTAAGGCAGCTCTGTTTCCATCAAGTGCTTTTGCCAGTCAGAAGAACTAGCCTGCCACACTAATTCACTCAGACGGGTATTGATGAATGTGCTGTCTGTTGCAAAGGGAAAAGAATACTGTGGCGTTCTGTATCATCATCCAAGTACTTCAGAAAAAAGGAAGTATTTTAATTGCCCCCAGAACCATTCGGTCAAAATCAGAAACAGAATAATCATTAATAAAAATGCAGATATATAGAGGATATTGAACCTGGTTTAGCTGTCATGTATCAAAAAGAATTAAGACATAGGTTCCAAAGATTCAGAGGATAGCTTTTTTGAATTGGGGATGCTATTGTAAATCACCGCGTAAGACACCATCAGTAGCACAGTTCTGTGTATAAGGTGGCAGTTTGAGAATCGGAAGGTTTGGCTTCTATTCCCAGCTCTGCTCTTGACTCCTTGTGTGACTTTGCACAAGCCACTTAATTTTCTGGAGCAGTTTCTTTTCTCAGATATTTTCCCTCTTAGAGATCCAAGAGGGTAGGGTTGTCTCTTTCTGCTTGTGCATCCATGCTGTAGGCACAGTGCAATGGGATATTTGAATCGATGGATTGCAATGGATCTCTGTGCTGGGACTCTAAGAACTCTGCCTTTGCCAAGGGTCAAAGCAAGCTTTTACCTTTAGCACCAAGGGCTAAAATTGAGATCCATCTCCTGCTTTCTGCAAAGTGCAGTGTTTGTTTTAATCTTTTACAGCAAGAGCTCTGACCTGGACATTGAGATCAAGAGTTTTGGCTTGAACTTTATAGACCATAAAACGTAAACTTTTTCCCCTAACTTTGTCTGAGCCAGAGCTATAAATTAGTTACTCAATATAGTCAGTGCATTGTGTGTAATCAATTAAAAGCAAGCTCTGTACCTCTGAAAACGAATGTCCTGCAGAGTTCTATGGAATGTTTTTCTTGTATATCATTCTGGCTCAATGACAAAAATATGGGGGGGGGGGGGGGGGGGGGAGTGAAAAATTAAAGAAATCATGTCCCAGTTTTAACATT